TGAGCGATTGTACTTCAGTGGCTGTAACCTTATCTCTCTTTTCTAAGTCATGTTCTTCCAAACTTTCGAGTGCCTCTAAGATTTTTTATAAGTAACAATGAAGTGGTTTAACACAATTTATTCTACTTTCCCATCTGGTATCTGATTGTGTTTTGACAATTTTAAAACTTCCCATCAAGGAGGAGACAATGAAAAAAGTGTATATAACCTTGAAAGAACACCAAAAAAGAAATTGCACTGATAGATGACCAATGCTCATTTGTTCTTTGTGCAAAATGCATGGCGTACAATCTAAAATAATAGAATACTACTTTGCTTTTTTTTAGCTAAAACAGGTTTTTGGATTCAATCTACTCCTCAAACCTCGTTCTGTGTATCATTGCTCAAATAGTGCTCCTTGGTTTCTTTGTCCTGAATTCTTTGCATAAGCTCATTGAGAACGGTATCGTATTTAGCCAGTAATTCAAACACCCCAAGAAAGTTTCCATTGCTCTTTGAATTAATGGCTGTGTCTGAACCACGGAATTCAAGATTTCTTGAAGAAAGAAAGAAAGTAATGTACAGTATCCTTTCTAACTTTCACTGCATAGACGAGCAACTTTTGTTGTTGCTCGTCTATGATAGCTTGATTTGCAATGCCTGCATTACCAAAATTGAGTGGAAAAAATTAATTAGGAAAAAAAGTAACAAATCAATAAATTCAAAGAAATATGAGTTAACCTTTTCGTTAAGTCATTCTGTGTTCAAAGCACTTAAAATGTTCACTGCATGTTTCGTGTTCTTCAAGTTTTTTTGATAAGCCTTCCCAAGTGTTCATTATTTGTCGGAATTGTGAAAAAGTTATTCCAAAAAGTTTTCAACAAAAACAAAACACTTTATTGCTATTCAAAGAATACACAAGCCATGTCCGTTCAAAGATTTCTCCATTCTTCACCTTGCTGCTATTATAATTCAATGAAAATCGTCTTCTTTCTAAATTGTCTGGAAAATCAATTTCAATCTTTTTAAAATCACGTTTAACAATCAGAAATATCATCACGCAACTAAGAAGGATCATCGCTGAGAAAAATAGGCTGAATTGTTATGCCATTTGATGTAGATTCACATATCAACCTTTCTAACTCTAGTATTCAAATAATGACAATCAGAATTGTTTTTAGTTTCTGTTGGTGTCGAAACACTTCCAGGCCACTGCTGGTTTCAAAAAATGTGTTAGTTTGGGGTATTTTGTGATTTCCTCCCTGGCTGCAGCTTTTTCTCTTCTCTCAGTCGCACCACTTTTCACTTTTTTCATACCAATATTTACATCGTGAAAAACAAACGAAAGATAAGTATAAATTTTTGCAAACCTTTTTTCAATGTTTGTTTTTTATGATATAGAAAACTAACAACGCATAATAATAATAATAATACAAAAAAAATCAATTCGAAATTGCAAAATAAAAATAATAAACTTATAAAGCTTGCGTTTTATAATATAATTCGGACCTCGGGAGTTTTCTTTTTTTTTTTTTTTTGTATTAAAAATGTAATAGCTTTTTTTATGCTTGCATAATTTAGGAAATATCATAATTAAAAGTCCATTTTTTTTATTAATAGTAACAATAACTATATATTTAAATATTTTTATTATAATAAATACAAAAATTTTAACTTTTTAATTTTAATTTTAACTTTTGAAACGGGACCCTAAAAATGCTGCCCCCCCCCCACCTAATTGGGGGGTGTGGAGGAGCCTAGCCACGGCTCTGCTTAAAATTTAAAAACTTTTACTGCTTAACAAACTTTTGAAATAAAAAGTTAAAACAAATAAAATATCTACACATTTATTTTTTGTTTAGTTCTGTTTGTCAATATGTCAATCTGGCCCAACTTTGTGAAGGGATTTAAAAGAAGCGCAATGCTACTAGATTTCTATAAAAGAAATTCCTAATCAAAATTTTTGCCTGTAATATTTAGTGTCAAACAAAAATGTGACAAACAAAATTTTTGTCTGCAACAAAAGTAACAAAAACTAATTTAAGATCCTGCTCTCAGAACTATTTTTCTTTCAAGTTAAAAAATAAATCAAAGTGAAATTTAAAAGAGCTTAACTATTTACATTCCATTGTTTGGATTGGTTACCATTGACCAAATGGTCATCATTGACCGCCGCTGTGAGCAGACGTAATTTTAACAGAAAGAAAAAAAAATTAAAAAATGGCTATAACTTTATTAGAAATACAAGAAATGTTTATCTTACGCAAAAAAAAATATATAATTACTAATTAAAAAACAAGAAAAAGTATATGTTGATTTACTTAGTGATAACTTAAAAATACTCAATGCACTCTTGGGTAATATTTAAAAAAAAAATCATCGGATTACGATAAAAAGTTCATTTATTGGAAAACGATATAAAAGACTTTTATAAAAAAAAGTTCAAACTTTCATAAACATTTAATAGACCAAAAGATAAAAACTGCTAAAGAAATTGAAACTTCAAATAATAGTAAAATTTTAAACGAAAAATGCACAATCTCCGAAGACAGGTCGAGGAGAAATAATCTAAGGATAGTTGGAATTCTTGAAAATGCAAATGAAAGCTGGAATGAAACTGAAAACTAAATTAAGAGTTAAAGGAGTTGAAATTGAAAAGGGCGCATCGAGTAGGTTTTAAAAAAGAAGTCCAATCTCGGACCAATGTGTTAAAATTATTGAGATTCAAAGACAAACTAAGCATCCTAAAACAAACTAAAAAACTAAAAGGACTAAACATCTACGTAACATCTACGTAACATCTACATAAATAAAGATTTCCCACAAAAGACGGCATACCTTCGTAAGAAGTTATTTACAGAAGCGAAAGAAAGAAAATTAAAAGGAGAAAACGTTATTGTCAGGTATGATAAATTTATTATTTTAAAAAATGTTTATAATAAGACAAAATGATACTGTTAGAAAACAATTTTAATCTTAATTTTGCATATTTTGATAATAAAAATGGCTAACAAATTAAATGTAACAATTTTTTTTTTGAAATTTTTAGTAAACAAAACACACTTCTTTTGAATAATCTTATTGATCCAGATGTAAACTTTTTTAAGGACGTCATAACCAACTCAAACTACTTTGATATTAAGAAAGTTTCTAACCTCATGAATGCGTCACAATCGTTATTTTCAACATTAACTTTAAACATACGTAGTATGAGTAAAAACTTTGAAAATTTTAAATAATGCTAAAAAATATAAATTTTGAGTTTATTGTAATATGCTTTTTTTTTTTTTTTTTTTTTTTTAATTTTACATTTGTTGGTTGTATTACAACTATATATTGCCAAAAAAAATAATGATAATAATAATAAACTTTCACAAATTAAAATAAGGTATCTGAAAGAAGATCAAAGGATCTTGTCGTCAGAACCTTAAATAAGTTCAAACAAGCATTAACATTGATATATAGATACATACATAACATATATATATATAAAGATAAAAATAATATATATATACATATATATATATATATATATATATATATATATATATATATATATATATATATATATATATATATATATATATATATATATATATATATATATTTATATATATATATATATATATATATATATATATATATATATATATATATATATATATATATATATATATATATATATATATATATATAATTAGGCGGGAATTCATGAAGTAAGACATTAATTTATTGTATCATCGATATGTATTATATATATTAAAATTTTATAATACATATCGTCCCTTCAGTTGTAACTAGCTAGAGTAGTTTCAATATTTAAAGATAGTGATATCTCAAATTTATTTAATTACAGACCTATTTCAATACTCCCATGTTTTTCTAAAATTCTAGAGCGAATAATGCATAATAGGCTTTACAACTATCTTACAACTCACAAAGTTTTAAATAACAATCAGTACGGATTTAGAAAAAGACACTCGACAGAACATGCAGTAATTAAACTAGTTAATAAAATATTAAATGGGTTTGAAAACAAAATATACTCTTAGAGTGTTTATTGACCTCTCTGAGGCCTTTGATACTGTGGACCATGATATTCTTCTTTACAAATTTGAAATTTATGGAGTCAAAAATAATAATCTTAAGTAGTTTTGTTCCTATTTTAAAAATCGCAAACAATGTGTATCTTATGAAAAAACCTACACTAAATTAAAAAACATTACAGGCGGAGTTCAACAGGGATCTATTCTAGGGCCTTTGTTCTTTATTATTTATATCAACAATATTTACTTTTCATATAGTATACTGAACTTCAATCTTTTTGCTGACGACACTCAAGTTTTTTATACTGACTCTAACATTAAGACAATCTTTACCACTATGAATAGTGAACTTGATAACCTTAATGAATGTTTTAAAGCCAACAAACTCTCTCTGAACCCTACCAAAAGCAAATATACTCTCTTTTCTAAATCTTCTAAATCTGACACGTAGTCTTTAAAACTCCCGGATATTTTAGTAGAAAAAACCAAGTTGCAACGGACATACTGTGTTAAATTGGAAAGAGCATATTAATCTAATAGAAATAAAATTTCAAAAAGTATTGGAATTATGTATAAAACTTGATATATGTTGGACAAAAACTTTTTAAAATCTATTTATTTCCCATTTATTCATAGCTATATTAGTTATTGTAACATTGCTTGGGCAAGCACTTATTCGTCAAGACTAACTTGTATCTTTAAAAAAAAAAAAAACAAGCAAGCCGCCTTATACAAAATGCTAATAAATACACCAGTGCCAATCCACTGCTTCGTAAGCTTGGAAAGCTGAATGTTTACCAGTTAAATATTTTTAATATTCTTTTATTCATGTTTAGATTAAAATATCATATGCTACCTAATATTTTTGAAGACCTTTTCTTTATTATAGATCATAAATATCAAACAAAGCATTCATTGCTTAATTATCAGGTACCAAAAACTTTGTTAAAACAATCTGAATTCTCAATAACTTACCGAGGGCCACATTTGTGGAACTCATTTCTCACAAATAATAATAAAACTACAACTTCCATCCAAACTTTTAAAAGTATCTTAAAAAAACAGTTATTTGATTATGACGTATCTCAAATACGAGTTAGATAAAATTTCACTATGGTTCAATGCAAATAAACTTTCTATTAATTCAAATAAAACAAAGTTCTCATTATTCCACCCTTTAAAAAAAAAAAAAAAATTATTATTTTTATTTTTTTTCCAAAACTAGTTATTGAAAACACAGAAGTTAGTCGCGAAAGAGTCACAAAATTTCTTGGTGTTCTCATTGACGAAAATATTACCTGGAATAAACATATTGCCTATATTGGCAGCAAAATATCAAAAAGTATTGGCGTTCTATATCAGTCACGGGATTTACTTAATAAGCATCATCTAAAACAAATCTATTTCAGTTTTATACAAAGTTAATTAAATTACGCGAATATTGCGTGGTGTAGTACATCTAAAAGCAACCCTGTAACACTCTATCGAAAACAAAAACATGCCTTAAGAATAATGAATTTTAAAAATAAAAATGAACATGCAAAACCACTGTTCGAAATTATGAATATTTTTACGTTATACGAGATAAACGTTTATAAAATTTTATGTCTCATGTACAAAAGTAAATTTCAACAATGACCCTCAATTTTTAATGATCTTTATGAAATAAAAACTAACATTAAATATACTTTACGCACAACAAACTTAATTGAACCATTGTGCAAAACTAAACAAGAACAATTTAAAATTACGTATCGTGCTCCGCATATCTGGAATAAAATCTTAGCAAAATATAGTAATTTACCAGGTGTAAACAATATAAATTGCTTTCAAAAACTAATAAAAAAGATTATTTCAAAGTATACAAATCTTATTAATGATTTCTTTTAAACTGCTTTGTTTTTTTGTTTGTTTGTTTTTGTCTTTTTACATTGAAAAGTTTTTGGTTTTAACACTATTTACCTTAGTTAATTAAGTTTTGATTTTAACACTATTATAGGAATTTAATATTGTAAAAACATAATTACAACGGTTCTTGATGATAAGACTTAATGGTCTTCTGCAAGTTTCCCGCATTTTTATTTATTTTTGTATAACTAACTCTTATTATTTTGTCTTTGATATTTTATATTTATAACTGGTTTATTTTTGAAAGAATAAGAGTATCTGGTATTATATTACGGAATTTAATTGTAACAAAAACGGAAAACTAAATTAGAAAAAAAAAAAAAAAAAAATACTATTTTATTTTTAATCTTTATTTTATTTTCTTTTATTTTCTTTTTTTTTTTTAACTTTTTCTTTTGTTAAAAAGCGACATCACCCTTTACATCATTACTTATCTTTATATTTGTATTGTATTCGGAAGAAAAAAAAAACACTTCTTTATTTAAAAATATTTAATATTATCTTATTGAGATTGTAATATATATATATATATATATATATATATATATATATATATATATATATATATATATATATATATATATATATATATATATATATATATATATATATATATATATATATATACATATGTATAATTATATATATACATATATATATAGGCCCGCCGCGACTCTTTATGACACCTGGGGTCAAAACTTATCTAGCGCCCTGTCATATTGATCTAATTCAAAAAAGTTTAGGTATTGTCCAAATACTGTCTTTTTTTTTTCAACTAAATTCACTTTTAAAGGCCGAGGGAGTAAATACAGTCGAGGAGGCTTCTATTTATTTTTAAAATAAATTTGAAATAAAAGTAAAAAAGAAGCACAGGTTGACAAGTTACTGAAATTTATTACATTGCGAGTAACTATGAGTTTTAAATGTAATAGATATTTTAATTGCTTCATGAGAATTTGACTCTACGGGCATAATTTAAAGCAAAATTTGGAATGACCTCGTTGTAGCAAAGATTTTTTACAAGATTGTATTCAAAAGACATAACTAAGAAATTGGTAAGCCAGTCTTGACTTTTTTTTTTTTTTTTTTTTTTTTTTTACGTTGATTTAGGTGCCCCAAGAAGTCCTTACGGTCTTATCACAGAGCACCGCGGAAGAGCATTTAATAGGAAGTTCACGCCTCCTTCCCAACCGATGTCGCAAAACTTGCCCAGAGGTGGGGTTTGAACCATGGAACTTACGTTTCTGAGGCAAGTGCGCTACCACTGCGCCACGGCTGCTTATTTATTTCCGAAAAAGAGATCTTTCAGTAAGCTTGGTCTAGACATCTTAATGATATCTAGACCAAGCTTACTAAAAGATCTCTTTTTCGGCAATGGAATCGAGAATCGTGTTAAAAATACGTAAATGCCTATTGATTCGAAGATAAACTCTAGATCTTTTTAATAGATTCCATTTAATAGCTTAATTGAAGTGAGATATTCTTTTGGACTGAAAAGCTTGACGTGCTTCAGAATATCCAGATGATGGACCTCTAAAATTAGTTTGTCTTTATCCACATTGTTCACATAGATTTGCGCCAAATTTTTTTATTCTCCTCCAGGCTAGGTGGTTCAATTTTCTTCACTCGACATACCATTAGATTCCGAGAACCATAGGAACGAGAAACTGTTTGTCATTTTTTCTGCAGCTCGAAATCTGTCTCTTATTTGTTGGATTAAAGTATCGAGAGCGGTGTTCTTCAGCCGTTTTTTAAAACGCCTTAAAGTAAAAAAAATCAAAATTGACTTTTTTAGAAAATAAGCTTATTTAGGTGCCTAAAAAGGTTATTGAATAACTGTTTTTAAAGAACTTTGAAAAAGTTCATTCAAATTATAATTTTCAAAAAACGTTTTACAAAAAACTTTCTTGTATTATTATTTTTAATTGCGTTTTTCTCGAAATACGTAAAAAGCATCTAAAGGCGTTTTGAAAAGCGGGTACAGTGTTAAATACGTTAACCTCAAACTGCTTTTCATCGTTTTCGTAGAAATAAACTTTATTCCTTGCTTCTTTGTAAAAGGTTTTCCTCTTCCTTTTCCTTTTTTGAACTAACTTTGACCAAAACCCATAACTAGCTAGATCGGAGGTAACCAAATGTGCTTCATTAATTAATTCGGGCCAAAAATATCTAAATTCATAAGATCATCGATAAGAACCCTCATAAGCTTCATCTCTTCATCTAAAGTAATATTTCCCGATTGAAATTACACGCTGACAATTGCTTGGCGCACTTCGAACCAGATAGTTGTCATGATAATAAACTCAAATGAATAAATCAGTTTCTCCAAAGATTTTACGTCATTCAATAGATCAGCAATTAAATCAAGTTCTTGAAGTTTCTGCAAAGAAAAAATAATTTCTCTAGGTTGCTTAACCAACGGCTTCAAAGTCTCAATCCGTGCACTCCATCGGGTTTAACATGGTAAATTACATCCAGACTACAATTACATGGTAAATTACATCCAGAATACAATAACATGGTAAATTACATCCAGAATACAATAAGATGGTAAATTACATCCAGAATACTATAACATGGTAAATTACATCCAGACTACAGTTACATGGTAAATTACATCCAGACTATAATTACATAGTACACAATTACAATTACATGGTACACAATTCTATGATAAAATTGTCAAGTTTTCCAAGTTCATGTCAAATGAGAAGAATATATCAATACTAGAATGTTTACAAGCCATCCGTAGAAATAAATTAGAATCAGTTTTTTCCAATGCTGACATTGCATATAGGATTTTTCTAACCCTTCCCATAACTAATTGTAGTGCAGAAAGAGCATTTTCAAAATGGCAAGAGTTAGATCTCTATTTCTTATTGTAGTGCAGAAAGAGCATTTTCAAAATGGCAAGAGTTAGATCTCTATTTCTTATTTTCAAAATGGCAGGTCTCTATTTCTTATTGTTAAATAATTGTTTAAATGCCCTTTTTTAATAAAAATTGAAAAAAATATAGATTTTGACATTGTAGTAATTGCCCATGTGAATGTAAGAAAGGTTTCTCTGTGAGTAAAAAAGTAATTTCATGTTTTACTGCATTCTTTTTTAAATATATTTTTTTAAAAAAAGACGCTAAAAAAATTTATTGCACCCGGCCCCAAGACCCTTACCCGGTCTTGTCTATAGAACTTTTGAATGGTTTGTAATATAAAAATTTTAAATTTTATTATTCAATTAGTTTCCTAACTATTCGATAAAGATCTATCGTTAAATAATTTTATTTTTAATTCTTAACTTTTATTTCTTATTTAACTTAATTTTTTTTTAGAAAATTAATAAAATATAGAAATAATATAATAAGCTTTGATTATGCCAGAAAAACTCAAAACACAAACTAATTCTTTTAATGTGAATTTTATTTATTGATATTGAAAATGTTAAAGCGCCGAAAATAGTAATAACATTATGGTAACGCATTTTTGTTTTTATTTTATGTTTTTCCTCTGAACTTTATTTTCCGCTCTGAAGTTTTTCCGTGGTTGAAGTTGAAGCTATGAAAAATAAAAAATGCTCCAAACATAATAATTAAATGTCGGAGTTACTTATTTGTGACATTGATTTTTATCAGCACGATTTTTTTAACTCACCAATATAAAGCAAAATGCAGTTTTTTTACACATGTAAAATTTTAATCTAATAATGGGCTTTTTCAATTACTCAATGATTTTTTAAAAAAAAAAAAAAAAGATGACCAAATATATACTTTTGAAAGTCATAAAATAGTTATAACGCGAAGAAGTTTTCTTTAACACTTCGCGTAGCATCTTTTGTGTTTTCGCTCAATAAAACCATTTTCTACGCAGTAAATGTAAATCTAAAAATGTTAGTTTCGACTAGGGTTGTTAACCGGAGGATTTCGTGCAATTCCGGAAAAACAACATTCTTTCGTAAGGAGATTGAGAACGAGGAATTACATTTTTTCGTACCGAATGTTACAAAACATTTAAAATCGCCGATGTTCATTTTGCAAAAGCCACTTCCGAAATTTAGCATTTCGCAAGTTGACATACGAAACAAAACTATTTTGCAACATACGAAAGTAGCGGTTTCGGAAGTCGCACTTGCGAAACAAACATTTTCGCCAAACGACGTTTTGAAGTCTATAAAGAAAATTTGTTTGCCAGACTGATTTTAATTGTAAAAATTAACATCTTTAAATCCCAAAATGTTTATAATGAATTTTTATTTTCAGTATAATAACATATTAAATTTTTATGGTTTTTTTTTTAGAAATATTGATAAAAAATAAAATTTCTTTCGAAACGAAAGTATTTCGGATCACATCATACGAAAGAATTCTTAACGGAAATAAACTTACGAAACGTGCCATAATAAATATAACGATGATTTTTTGTTCATCAAACTCTTTTTACTTAAGATTTTTTTGACCTCCATGTTCTATATTACAGATCTTTCGTCGCCTTCATAATAGTGACAACCTCTCTTCTGTTAGTTATTCTTTTAAGATTGAGTTCATTGTGCTTAATTCTACACGTTTCCCTTGCTTTACTAAGTTCTACTTAAATTATGATGAAATGTACGTAAAACAACTTTTTCAAATAATATAAATCATTTTCCTTTAAATCTTGTGCTTTTTGTACTAGACATCTGTCCTAAACACTTTGTAATAATTTCTAGCTAACTCTGAGTCTAATATAATCATTTCTGAATATAATTTCCCTGAGGCTCCTACAGCCTATTGTGTTCCATTAAAAGTAACTAGTTTTCGAGTCCAGATATTAATTATAAGCAACTAAAGGTTCACATTACTATTCATTTTACTGATATATAGAATCCTATTTGCATATGTATCTCTTTCTGTAAATTCTGTTTTATATAGTTTCTTAATAATATAATAAATAAATATTACTGTTCATTTAGTTGAATGAACGTATAGCTCATTCAGTTAAGGCATTTGGCCGCAGAGACCCAGGTTTACATCCCGCTGTTTCACATATATTTCTTCTCTTTTTACTCTTTCTGATATCATTTACCTTTAGAGAGGTCTCTCGTTCTTTATAATAAAGTATTTAATTGTTTATCACGCATCCTCTTTATACTTTTTAAAAAGAAAGGCATACTGTTTATCTGTTCATTGAGAGTCCAACTTAACGGGATTTTACTGTATATATATGTATATATTTATATATATATACATACATATATATATATATATATATATATATATATATATATATATATATATATATATATATATATATATATATATATATCTTATACTGCTGAGTTAAGTGAGCGTGATGATGTCATACTCACCTAACGTCATATAGCCTGCTGCCGGGGGCTTCAGTACATACATCGACTGATGTATGTACTGAAGCCCCGGCTTCAGTACATACATCAGTCGATAACGGCAATATTGGCATTTCAGTGTCGAAACCCTAGTTTCGACACTGAAATGTTAGAAGCACGCAATTTGTGTTATTTTTTTTGCGGGTTTTCTTACTTATTTTAAGCCTTTATTTAAGGAAATATAACGAAGTTTATAATATTTATTAATAAAATGTATTTATTGTTCTATGTTTTGTATATACTTATAAATTAAAAATAAATTATTTTCTGAAGTTTTTATAATATTTTTACTTTAAAACCTGGTAATCAAGGCCAGCGCAAGTAGGGGGGTGCAATTAAAATTTTTGCTGACTGAAAATATATATATTTTTTATATATTTAGAATATTACCAAACTAGCTGGTAATGTTCTAAAACTTCTTCTAAAACCTGTTATACTCTAAATTCAGAGTTTCATGAAACCTTCTATACTCTGAAAAATAATAACTTGCTAAACCAGCTTTTTCTAATCAGTTTTTTACTTAAAAGTGCTAAGGGATCGTCCATAAATTACGCAACGCAAAAAATATTTTAAAAACGGGTGTAGGAGATATTAAGCTCTTTTACGCGGCGATTTTCATTTAACTTAATTTTCTATTTTGATCGTTTATTTAAATTAAGACTCTGCTATGATCTTTTTTTGTTTTGTTTTTTGTGAAACTTTGCGTTACGTAATTTATGGACGATCCCTAAGTGGGACATAGTAGTTTTAAAACTAAACAGAATTTTGTTTTGTTTTGGATTATTAAGTTAAATAATTATTTTAAGGGCACTTGTTAGGCTTAGGAAAAGTTACTTCTAAGTTTTTAAAACATTTATATACAATTATCAGACGTTTTTAACGTATTTTCGAGTAATTTCGAGTAAATTTTTTAAAAAAATTGGTAAGTGCTAAGATAAAAAAGAAAAAAATCAAAAACTTACTTGCATAAATAATATTAAAACGTTTTCTAATCAATTCACTAAAATAAATTACAGTAATTGGAATTTAATGTAAAACGTCACTCAAAAAAAGTTACTCAAAAACTCGATAAGTTTTATTCGCTTAAGCGAATATTTCGAACATTTCGACATTTTACATTTCGAACATTTCGACGTTTTACATTAAATTTGAACATCTTTTTTTTTAAACCTTTCCTAATTAAAAAAAATTATGTGTGTAAGCGAAAGAATTTGAACCTACACAAAGCACTTCAACCACTTTGACATGATTTATCATCTTTTAAAACTTTTAAATAAACCAAAGAATTATAAAAACTCCAGTGGGCACGGACGTAAAAAAGACGTTTTTTAAACGTCCTATACACGTTTTGGATGTCTTTTTAACGTTTTGGACGTCTTTTGAACGTTTAAAAGACGACTTTTTTATGTCCGGTGCCCACTGGGACATTATAAAATAGCATATAAATGCTGTAAATAAAAATTAAGGAGATATTGTCGAAGTAAAATTTTCAAGTAGAAGTAAATCTGCAAAATTTGATATAATTTTTATAACTTGAAGTTTACATGTTAGATATTTGCATAGACTTTTGTTCAAATAGATAAAATACAAATCATTACGGATTGTGATTTAAAAAAAATGCCTAATAGCTATGTAATATAAAAGATATCTTTATTACACATGTACGTTTGTGTACATAAATGTACATATATTAGCAAAATAACAAAACATAACAATTTTCAATAGTCTTCATATGTAGGACTATACTGAACAAACACCTCATCTGATTAATTTTAAAAAATTAATCGATTTAAAAAAAGTAAAAAATACACCACATGAATTACTGGAATTCAATTTTTGTATAGATAATAACAACATAAAATATTTAAAAAAACGTTTTATTTACAAAAACTACATTTACATCATCAATTAACAATTGGTAGATTAACCAACTATAAAAATATTAACGTCAACTTTAGGATCTATAAAATAAACATTTTGTCAAGATACAATTTGGATACATAACCTATAAAACAGAATATGTTTCATTAAGTAAAACATTAAAAGAATTTAAACTATAGTAACTTTAAAAACAAATTGAAAAATTAAAAAATACAAATAAAAAGTATGTTCAATAATTATATCATTTATGATAATGATAATAGAAGATTCAAAGATATTTCAGAAATTTGTAAAAGTTAAATAGGAAATATAAAAAACTTACAGTGAACACATCTGCAATGCCTCGTGCATTAACAGTTAAAAGCGTTTTGACTTTTCCAATTTAATACGGAGTATAATACTATTTTGATGGTAAATCTATTGATGGTAATACGTTTTTAACATTGCATAATTTGCATAATTTTGCAAATTATGGTTGCAATGGCTGCCAAGAGTATCGTGGCGAACACGCTTGAACGAGCGTTAAGAAGTTCCTTATTAACATATTATATGATTACTTAATAAACTTTCTGCACTTTTTTCCATTTATTTGCAATTCTTTGATTGTTTATGACGTTTTTAAAAAAAGATTATTAGATAGTTTTTAAAAAAAGGGGAGTGTGAGTGAATAACTTTAAGCTAAGATTAATCCGGTATTTCATTAAAAACTTTGCTCTCCAGCGCAGTGGATTTTTTCAATATTAACTTTTTGTAAGCTGTTGCTAGGCTACTCTATAGTCACAATACAAAATTACATCGATTTAAGTTTTATATATATATATATATATATATATATATATATATATATATATATATATATATATATATATATATATATATATATATATATATATATATATATATATATATATATATATATATATATATTATATATATATAAAGAGTAGTCAATGGAGAGACACCATATAAATAAAAACAAATAAAAAACAAAACAAATTTCTGTATTCTATAAAAAATTTGTTAAAACACTCCTAGTCATAAACAAAGAACAATGTATGATTTATTTGGTTCATTGATCATTTCTTTTTCATATATATATATATATATATATATATATATATATATATATATATATATATATATATATATATATATATATATATATATATATATATATATATATATATATATATATATATATATATATATATATATATATGCATGCAAATTGCATGCAACATATATATACATTCAAATTGGCCTGACATTAAAATATCAATTGAATATTCAGTTCATTTTATTTTATAATGAAACATTATTTTGATTAAAAAAAAAATTGGACAAAAGTTAAGAATATATTTCAAATAATATAACGAAACAGTAATTAACAAAAGAAAAACCATAAAAAAAAAGAATTTTAATATTTTGCAGAATCATCTTTCTCAAATAAGCATTGATGAAGGCAATTATATAAAATTTCAAAATATCTATCAGCATTAATTCAACCTTCAAATAATCGATAACATCTAAGTCCTACATAATTCATGCAGGCCCAAATGCCTACGCTGCCACTACCTTGCTTGGTTCATCTTTATGTACAATTTAAATCAAATCACTCTTGAGGTGGTCGCCGTAGCAGAACACATAGCAATTTGCTGTCGTGTTTTTGTTTACTTTTTTTAAGGTTCCAATGATAAGATCTTAGTGATCTTCTTTCGGAAACCCAGTTTACACTGTTATCACGCTTTATATATTTGTAAAGTACTTTAAATAGTTTATTTCGTTGTATCACGAATAACATTGCAAACACATATATATATATATATATATATATATATATATATATATATATATATATATATATATATATATATATATATATATATATATATATATATATATATATACACACACATATGCATTTATAAGTTTGAATATGGCTCACTTTCTTACTGATTTTTTGCCAAAATTTGGTGTAAATGAAATGTCTTCATGTTTCAAATGAAGCTCACGTACTAAAGTTGTATTTTTTATAAACGAAGCCGTTATTAACACCTTTTCTTCTAAAAATAAAAGCATCTTTTTTTAATGGAGGCAAAATCAAAATAAAATAATAAAAACCACAATAATCTAATACTTACGTTTTATCATTTTGCAAGAATTTTACATTATTTTTGATCATTATATCATAGAAATGATCATTACATCATGCTTCTTTTATAAAAAAAATTTTTATGTTTCAAAAAGTTCATAACGTATCTAGTCATATATAACATAAGTAGTTTCCGAATATTAATAATAGATGCTTGAAAAGATTGAAAGTAAACAAATACTTGGTTAAAAAAAAAAAAGAAGTAAACATTGCACGACGTTAAAATTATTTTGTTTTATCTCCACATTTTTTAGTTTTGAGATAAAACGATTTAAAAAACAAAAACTTTAGGAGACGGCGTATAAATTTTTTTTTATAACTTATGTTTTTTCCGCAACTTTTTTACTTATAACTTAGATTTCAATTCAGTAGAAAGACATAATTTTGAGGAACACAACACTATCATTAACTCAATTTTTTCAGAAAGTGGAGATAGAACAAGATAATTCTAACGTCGCGATTTCAAGCAACGAGACTTTTGAAATCAAAACTGTTATGTCAGCAACAAAACTTCGATATCCAACAATAAACTTATATATCCAACAAACTTTTGTAGTCCAATAGATGTTGTAATTTATGCTGCAAAACGCATTTTCTCGAATAAGTGACGTTGTGCAATTCAATACCAAAGTTATGTCTGGTAAAGCTTTCTACAAATCCACTGATGAATAAAAGCATTAGTGGATTTGCAGAAAGTTTTTCCTTTTTCAAGAAAAAATTTTCATTATGTTGTATATTAGGTTACTTTAAACAATACTAAAAAACAATAAACAAATGTTATTTTTGATACGGATAAATATTAAAACAAGTAACTGTTTAATTATTAATAAAATATTGTCATATTAACGTAATATAAGTACTATAAAAAAAGTTACTAAAAGTTAATATTTAATAAGAATTAAGAAATATATATCTGCACAAACGCATCACTTAGCAACAAACGTTGTTCATAAACTATTTACAAGTAAGATTGAATTTATTGCAATGTACTTGAGCTTAAAATTCCACTCCAATCAATCATCTATAAAATTAAAAAGAAAACTACGATGGTTATTTGCGAAAAATTCCCAGGGATGTTTCAGGCTTTTCGTTAAATAACAAAAAAAAAAATATTTTTTGAAATTAAAATTACGTCATACTTTAAAACGTTATTTCAGCATGTGTCATAGCAGTATAGTTTTCCTTAAATATTTTTCTCCTTTTTTTCATTGTTTTTTATAAGGTTTGCTTACGACCACACAGTAGTGTATAAAGAAACGATAAATTTGCTATAATTTAAAATGTTCGTTATTCTGACTGAAAATTTGTTACAATCTACTTAATCTAATTCATATCAGACGAAATGAGGGGTAAGTTTAAATTAAGACAAATTTTGAGGTTATAAATCTTTAAATTGCAACAAACATAAAGACTGTAAAAAATATATAATAACAATAAACAAATATATAATAACAATAAACAAATATATAATAACAATAAACAGAAATATAATGTTTTTAAAGTTTAAAGTTAAAAAAAAAAAATTTGAAATAGGAATAGAAATTAAATTCTTCCTTGATTTCATAAAAAATATATTTTTTTATGACAAAGTCATCATGAAGGGAACAAGTTTTTAGTTTTATTTTATTGTTATTTTTTTATTATTATTATTTATATGAATGATAATGAAAAAGGTTAAAAAACTTTAATCGTCTTTTCCCAGTGGACACGGAAATAAAAAAAAAAGACGTCTTTTGAACGTTCAATAGACGTTAAGAACGTTCGAAACTAGTTCAAAAGACACCTTTTTTACGTCCAGTGCCACTGAGTTTATTTTATCTTTTTTATTAATAATATTAATAAAAAATTTAAAAACAACGACAAAGTAAGTATTAGTATTGCAAATTTGTAATTCACTCTTTTTCTTAAATATTCATAAATATTAAATTATTAAATACAATTAAATACATAAATAGTGATTTATGGATATAAATAATATAAAAAAATAATAATTTACTTAGTATGGTATTTATAGCAATTTTTACAAATAAATTCTATGCTCGTGATACAAATTATATACAAGTTGAATTCATCACAGAAATGTCTAAGTAACTTGACACAAGTTTTATTTAAATACTATATCACAATCGACATCCGACACAAAAAAACGTCATATTGCTTTGTTTCAATTGGGACAGTACCAAATAATGTCATTTAATTAAAGTTGAGAAACTTAAGTGTCGCATAAAACATACTTTTTTTTTCTTTCCCAAAAATCCTCCTTAAAAACTTTTTTTAAAATCCCGAACTGTTTAAGAATAATCAGCATACTTTTAGTGTGATCGTATTTTTTTTTCAAGACGTCGTAGCTTTGAATATACGGTTCCTGAGAGTTTTCAAATACTTCGCAATTGCATTCAGAAAATATCTGAAACAAAATTATATTGTATTGTAATTTTCAATTTTTCATCATATATAAATACAGAAAAAGGATTTTAAATCCACCTTTTCAGTAACTAAAAAAACTGGTAGCTCTTTTACTTTTGTAAATTAATAAAAACATAAACTGCTACAACTGACTGTCAACAAATTTTTTAACGACTTGCTATTCATTTTGTATTTACAAACCTCTACAATACTTTTAACTTGCATGTAAAGCGATTTCACATTGTTGCATATTTGTAACATCGTAGCCATAAAGTTTTGACCAGAGTCAGTGCTTGCCTCATGTTTCATCACAATGTATAATTCTCCAAGAATCTTATCTAATAGGCTTTCAAACAGTCGAAGGGCCGAAAAATCCTAAGAAAAAAATTTAGTCAATATTAAACTTTTATAGCACAAATAACAAACTCAAACTTAAAAACGCTCACCCTTTGTTTATAGTTTAAAGTAGGCGAAAACGTTAAATCTCAAACAACACAAGAATATCTTCTTGGGCAGTTTAAGCTCCAATGTTTTTATTTGAACGATCATTTGTTTTTGTTTTTGTTTTGTTTTAGTTAAATTTTTTTAGTATTTACACTAAAATACCATAATATTATAGCATAATTTTTAAGGTTAAAAAAAGAAAATGTTTTGACATTTCAGAAAAAGTAATCACTTAACAGTATTTGATACTATTTTAACTGAATACCGTAAAATACGGTGTTTTTTTTTTCTTTTCTTTTTCAATTTATCTTTTAAGGTATAAACGGAGTTTTTATTTTACGGTGTTTATATTATCCAGCATAACCAGAAAACATTTAATATTCATTTAATAAAATTTAATGTTGCTAACTGTAGTTAAGAGTCGTGTTTGAAAAAGTGCAGGTTCTATAGTGGTTTTGAACAGACACACAGTGGGGCAGAACAGCTTCAAAACTGGATATTTGACGAAAATTAAAAAAAGGTGTTATGAAATATTTTTAGGTGGTAATGTATAAAAGTTTCTCTGGTCCATCTGATCCTCGTGTTTTTTTTTAGGGTAGGACTGACTTTTAACCCTGTCGAATCTATTATCTACCTAAACTCTTTTGTTTAAAAAAAAAGTTAAAGTAGAGTTAAATGTACTTCTTTTTTTTATAGTTTTAAAGCTAAAGTTTGTTAAAAGTTCCAAATTGGTTTTTCAGGGATTCTTCAATTTTAGGTTTGCCGCTATCTTTTACTAATAAAAAAGTAATTTTAAAGAGCTTAAAATATACATTAATAAGTCTTTGAAAAAAGTACATATAATATATTTTATTTTTATTTAATTTTTTTTAAACAATGCGCTTTTTGTTTATGTTTCAAAACTTTTTTTTTTTTGCATTTATTGAGCCTTTTTGCGAGTATCAGTGAAAATGTTTCAATTACATCAGTAGAAACCAAGTCATGAACGCTTGATCTAATGACGTTCTTTTTTTTTTGTAAGATTTGTTTTGAGCAATAAAACTAATCGAGTTTTCGAGTAACTTTTTTTGAGTGACTTTTTACATTAAATTTGAATTACTGTAATTTTTTTTAGTGAATTGATTAAATTACTTTTAATATTATTTATTCATGCAAGCTTTTGGTTTTTTCCTATTATCACTTACCGGTTTCGGTTAAAAACTTTACTCGAAATTACTCAAAAATACATTAAAAACGTCTGACAATTGTAGCTAAATGTTTAAAAATCTATGGAGTAATTTTTCCTACGTCTAACAGGTGCCACTAAAATAATTAGTTAACTTAAAAAGTCCAAAAAAAATAAATAATTTTGTCCGGTTTTAAAGCTATTCTGCCTCACTGTGAAATACTAGATACTGAACTGACGGTAACTATACATTATATTCACGTCACACTTCAGTGCTAAAAGTTCTTGAAGAAGATTTCAACAAATAACAAAAGTTTTTGTTCGGTTTTTAATAGAAGAACTTTCTTTGTTTTATATTTACATTAAGTCATATTAATTTAAAGTTTTATTTCACTTTTATTCGATTCTATTTATTGGTAACTTTAAAGGAAATTAATTTTAGGTTATAGGATTAACTGTGACTACGGATCAAAATTTCTTACCGAAGTTAGCGATTTTACATCTGGACTTTTAATGAAACCTTCCGTAGTATGATAAGAGCAAGCAGAATCATTTGAGGTCGAATCGTGTTTGGTTAACCGTAATACCTAAAAAAATAACCTAATTTTAAATGGAAAAGTTTATAAAAAAAAAAAAAAAAAGTATTTTGAAATTATACAAAACTTACCAGTAAACATTTTAGACGATGAACAAGCACCAGGTGATACCTATCCATAATTAGGTTATCTGTTAAACTATGAAATTTCTTTACAGCTTCCATGCACGATTTTTTTTCGCATTTCGGAATAATTTTGGAATTCAGTGGATTTGTAAAAAGCATACCTTTACTTTGGTCCAGCATTACATATTTAGCCTCAATCAGTATTACAACTAATGTTGCTGAAAATTGATTATATATATATGTTATATATATGCGATAAAATTATACATATGTGATAGAATATCATACATTGTGATAAAATATTTAAGCATTTTTTTATAGTTTTAACTAGCAATGTATTATATATATAATACATTGCTAGTTTTATATATATATATATATATATATATATATATATATATATATATATATATATATATATATATATATATATATATATATATATATATATATATATATATATTGCTAAATAAAACTGTAAAAGAAATGCTTAAATATTTTATCACATATGTATATATATGGACTTTAACTTTAAAATATGTTTATTTTAACTTTGTCTTCAACTTTACCTGAAAGATAGTTTATAAACATTGCTTTTATTTTCTTTACTTTTTTGTAGGCTACTAACAGCTTTTCCGATGTTTTTCATTTCTTTTCTTCTTTCTATCTTCTTTTATATGATATTGGTAAATAAAGGTAGTTACCTTCTAAATTTTCCCATGAAAATTTTATATGCTAAAAAGTTAACTAATAAGGAAAAATTTTTAATGACATAGTTTTCCTAAATGTTATCGAAACTATGTTCTATATAGTTTCTCTAACTGCTTTAATATTTTATATGTCAATTAGTTTCATAAAATTTCCCCTAAAAAGTTTAATCATAGAAATTCGTTAACTTCGAAACTATTTGTAATTTCTTTTTCCGCGATAGAATTTTGTACTCGATATCTTTTCATTGATAGCAATGCTTTAAGCTAGAACTTAATTGCTAAAACGCCTGGTTGTTATTTGCAGATCAAAATGTTATTTTAAAACTCAAATGTTACGACATATTGCCAAAGGATTGATAAATACCATCACAAATTTTTATTAAAATGCTGCAAAACATCTTTTATACTAATGTATGCGTTTTCTTTTGTGTCGATATTATATTGTTGAACATTCAAATAAATTTTATTAACGTAAAATTCGCGTAAGCTGAGTACCATTCATATTTAATTTTGAAAATTGTTTGCAAATATAAAAATGTTGCAGTCAATTGAAATTTGGTATTTTAACTAGACTTTTGTAATCCTCAGGTTAATGTAGTAACTACAGACAACAGTTTAAACTATGTTAGTGTCTTTAACTGTTTTGTTTTAGCCTAGTAGAAAAACAGAAAGAGAAGATGAATCCTGAACTGGTCAACTTGACGTCTTTTTTTTTTGAGGAAACTTCTTGGATGTTGCAATGATAATATCATTCTACCAAAGCACCGTCGTTGTGATGAATTTGCTGGCTTGTAAGAATATCTAGAGATTGTTAAATTTGAAAACCAAGTGATACTTTTTTAAAGAAGGTAGTGCAATAAATTTTTAAATTGTTTATATGCTAACCAACATGATATATTGCAAAGATTTTCACTTTTTTTTTCTTCTTTAAATCAAACCTTTTCGATAACTTTTCTATTACAAATATTTTGTTGTTATTTTTATTTATTTTTTCATTACGATTTGTTTTGTTTAATCTTATTAAGAATCCCGGGATTGATATTAGAAATCCCAGAAATTCCGGATTATAAAAAAGGGAAGGATACGGGATTGCAATCACTAATATCAATGTAAGTAACAATTTACTCATAAGTAAATAAGCAACACTAAGTAAATTTAAATTTAGTGTAAAACACTAAAACAAGTGTAAAAGCAATTTTAATAAAACGTCACTATATATCATCCAATTTGGATATCAAAAACTCAACGTTGGAAAGGAAAGGAAGTTTTTTTCTTTTGCTTTTTACAAAATTGAAATTTTTTTTTTTAGGTAGCGGACTAGTTGCGGACTAACGCTACTAATTATAAAGTTTGGTAAAGTATTTTTAATTTATTACTGTTTTTAAATTGAGATTGAAGTTCTAAGGTAATTTAGCCAAACAAAAAATTATAAGTTCTATTATCTATCATTCAGTCTTATTATAGTGTTTTAGAAGCATTGAAAGTTTTCTAACAGACTGACAAGGTTTATTTAATACTATACAACATATTAAGGCTTGAATACCGGTATTTAAGCCTTAAATTGTTAGATTGTAAATTTTACGATATTAGTATTTTGTTAAACAATAAAATTTTAGAATTGCAGAATGTCCTTTTAAGTCAAAAACCATCAGTTGATATGTGTACACTCCACTGAGGCATGATCACTAAATCAATTGTTATGTGCACAATCCACTGGCTCTATTCTTATTCAGTTGATATATACTCATTAACCTTATCCCTAAATAATTTTTTGTTTAAAAGTTACTAAAGTTGTCAAAATCATTGCGAATGGGATATGGTTTAAAAAAAATCGTTAAAGATTACTGATTTGGAATGACTAATCAAGTATTAAAAACAATTTAAAAACACCCTTTTTAACTGTTAGGTTTTTGAACTCATTTAATAGTTTAGTTCTTGTGTTTTAAAATTATATGTTTGTTTTGATAAAAATTATTTTTCCTTTTAAATTCAAAAGTATTGGTATAGTCTAATATTAAAAAATGTTTATACCATTTTAAGTATTGGAAACGTTTAATACTCTAATGTTTAATACCTTTGCTTTCAAGTTTAGTTTCTAGCTCTATGACGCGCTCTTAAGCCCAAAGGCTTCTTCTTTGTTACGCAAAGCATTTGTCTCTCTTCCCTAACCAATCTTATGCCTTCTTCCTTAACCGCTCTTATACTTATATTATTATGATAGCTCTTGCTTGCTTGCTTGTCTTCTCTTCTGCTTTGTGTAACACTTTACTTGAATTTATTATAAAACCTGTATGTTATATTGAGAATTGTTATTATATATATTTTATTATTATATTAAAGAAGAACACTGACTACGCGTGTTATTATCAAAATACACACTTGTATTTAATAGTATTTAAGTAATACAATAGTTAATTGTAACAATTGACAGATTTCTGAGATTAATACAAATACGTCAGGTATACTTAATTTAATTAAATGATTAAAGAATCTCATGATCAAGTTTAAATTGTCTGATCAGTGAACATAGAACCATAGAGTAAAACTATTCTTTATATCGTATCAAACAACAACAAAAACTTGATACAAATAAATTTCGGCTTTAAACAAATAAATTTCGGCAATCAATTTTGTTGATTTAAAAAAGGAGAATGATCGAAAACAAGTAACTATAGCCCCTGTACATCAAAAAAAAATTTTAATTATAAAAAAACATATTATCGCACACCTATTAATAACAACTTACTAAGTCCCCACCAACATGGATTCCGCTAAGGTCATTCATGTTTAACTTACTACTAACTGTCATCAATTCTTGGAAATGATCTCTAGATAATAATGATCCCACTGACAATATTTACCACAATTTAAAAAAAAAAACCTTAAAATGTTCCACGCATGTTTCTTATTTCAAAACTTGCAGCTTACTGCATAACTAGATCAATTTTATGTTTGATAAAAAACTTTCTAAGAAACCGTACACAAAGAGTTTTTGTATTTGGTACTTACTCAAACTGGGTACTCTCTGAAAGTAGAGTTCCCCAAAACTCTATCTTTTAAAAACTACTTTTTATTATGCTAAAGATATTCTTTACACAGCTTTACTTTTCGCGACGATAACAAAATCTTTCATTCTCTCGAAAACATTCAATCTTACAAAAAAATTACAAAACAGAATTGACGCTATTATTATATTGTCTAACAAAATGGGGAATAAAAATTAACGTTGAAAAATGCTCCCGACAACACGCACAAATCTCATATTTATATTATGTAAGATTCAGAACTAAATATAAGAGTAATTATTAAATCTAAAAATTGCAAAGAGATTTAAATGTTTACGTAGACTTGAATTTATTATTTTCAATACATGCAACTATTCAAGTCAACCAAAGACAAAAAATATTTTATTTTTTTCTTCCAGAAAAAGATAATCGTGGTAAAAAATAATCCGAAGTAAATGTAAAATCAGCATTTCGCTAATTGGGTAAAGTACATAAAGCACAAAAAACATTTTCAACCATTTGAGTATGCCTGCACCAATAATCTATTCAACATATTACGGTATTAATACATTTTATTTACCATTTTATATTGGCTGTGCTGTTACTATTATTGAGGATACATTTAAAGGTTTACGGGATACATTACACAGATTTACGGGATACATTAAAACCTGGTGACATCAAAACCAATATTGTTGATTGTCAAATAAGTTTGAACGGTTTTCTATATCTGGTAAAAAAAATATAGTATTTGCTGCATCTATTATATTGTATTATAATATATATATATATATATATTATATATATATATATATATATATATATATATATATATATATATATATATATATATATATATATATATATCCCTCTAGGCATTTACACCATTGTTTTAACGACTGGAGTTTTCCTGGAGCGGTAGCTTCGTTTGCTAAACATACCTGTTTTATTTCAGACTCTACTAGTTTCAATGCGTTTGTGATTGTCACAGTGCTAAGAAAATACCATTCCATAGCGAGGGGGTCGCCTTGTGTGGTTCTTTCTCTCAAAAGAATAATTTTTCCGCCGTAGATGAATAGTTTTGCCGGTTTATGGTAAGTATAGATTAAATACATAGCTAAAATTGGACTAATTATCTGTATATTATGTAATGCAACGGAGCCGTTTAGGCAGTTAAACGCGTTCTTAGCATCAATCAGTAAAACCCCATCTGTACTTTTTAGATGAAATATCTCTTGCATGGCATGTATTACAGCTTCAGCTCCTGAGCCGTGTGCTGCGCAGGTTTGTAGTGGTCCAGCTGCTTCTTTGATTTCTTTTTGACAGTGTTGGCTTATGGTTTTACCTACACTCGTTCGTAACACTTCCCCTATTCCTATGGGACGAATCTCGGGAATTTTATCTAAGGGAATTAATCGACAAGCATTATAAGGTTGAACTATATCAGGATGTTATAATTTTGTTGCAATATTTTTTTTGTAAATATTGCTACGTCTTCTCGAAGCGTATTACAAGAGGGTCCGAAACACTTGGAGCATAGGACTCGACGGTAGAGATCTGCATCCATACCAGAAGGACCTGCAGATTCTTTAGTTCGCAAAGCACTAGTCAATTCTAGGTCTTTTAGGTTGAAAATTTGATTACTTAAAAAATTTTTATTACAAAGTGTTCAGGACTATTATACAGACAATATTATGAAAAGAACAAATTATTTGGTGTACGTCCTGATGAGAAAATCAATTTTTAAAGGGGATCAGGGCAACTTTTTCCCCCTCCCCTTGGCCCCCTTTATTTATTAAAAAAAAAATTATGCCATCTTTAGAAAAATCAAGCATCAGTTACATTTTCAAAAATTCAATAAAAAATATCTTGGCGTTCAAAAGATATAACCATTTAAAGTAAAACTAGTCAGAGTGTTTCTAAATTTATTATGTATGTATGTATATGCTTTAGTTAAAAATCTAACATATTTATTATTTATTTGCATTAAAACTAGCATAATTAACATAGTTAACATGCCAAACAAACCAAGGGATCATTTCTCTTCAAGAAAACTTATTTGTGTTTGCTGTGGTGATAAGAACTTAAAATGCATTGAACTGGTAACTGGAAATCCTTTACTAATCTTGATTCAACTGTATGCCAACACTAACTATAATATGACACTTCTTTACTTTATCACTAGTTATTTTAGAGAGGTGGTTGCTCGCATCAGAGAGAATAAAGTTACTTCCGAGATTTAAAGGTAATACTTTTACTTACACTTACTTATGTATTTAATAAAAGCTATAATTAATATGAATAAACATTTGTTTATATATATATAAATATAGGTGAGACAGTGTCAACATGTGATTGCCTTCTCTGTATTATGTCAAGAGATAAATCCAAATCTATAAACCTTCAGGTAATTTATAAAGAACTCATATATGTAGCTCAATTATTTACATTAAAAACATTTATAAAATTACAACTTTTATTATAGTTTAATTAAGTATATTTTAAATAAGTATAGTTTTTTATTTATTTAGGATGTATTAAACATGTACATTAATGACCCTGAAGTGCCTAAGGATGTTATAGATAAAATTTGTTGTACTTGTTATCAGAGAATTGGATCTGGAATTCAACATCCCTGTAATAAGAGAGACATTGTACAGAACCTAAAAACACTGCTAATGTCAGCAGGTAAGAGCTTAATTATAGTTTTTTTAAACCTAAATTTTTACGTAATCTTAATTTTTACGTAAACTTAAAACTTATTTATAAATTTTCAGGTTTAAAAACAGTTGAGCAAGTACTTAGCAAATCTCTGAAAGAAATTCAACAATTTAAAAATATTGAGTTAGACATCACTGTTAGATTGTCGACTGGAGGAACTCCTTTAAGTCTGCAGATAGGGAAAAAGCCAACCCTTAAAACTATCTCTACCCAAACTTTCTATAATATCAAAAGAAAGCATGATATGTCAGACTGTACTATTGATTCAATAGCAATGGAATTAAGAAAAGATTTGGGTGATTAGATGTGGAATCTAATTCTTCCAAAAAAATTAAGATAATGTCACATGCCTTAGATAACTATTACTTAGTGGAAAAAGTGGAATTTCTATCAAAAAATGAAGTTAAAGAAAATAAAACTATTGAAACTGTCATTAAAGATCTAGTGTATGTCAAAGATCCAGTATCTCTAGTTAATCATGTTTGCATTGCTAGGGGACTAGAAGTCGAGAATGTTATTATTCGTATAGGAATAGATAGTGGCCAAGGATCTTTAAAAGTTATTATGAATGTTTTTAACAGAGAAGTAAATTATGACTCCAAATACTGGAGTGAACAAAGTTATAATATTGGCTTTTGCCAAAAATGTTTGTGAAAGCCACACAAATCTTCAAATCTTATAGAAAAAACAAAGCTAAACAATTTAAAGTTTTACCTTGCTGCAGATCTTAAATTATGCAACATAGTTTTGGGTTTGTCAGGACATGAGGGAAAATATTCATGTTTATTTTGTGATGGTGATAAAACTCATCTTGGAGAACTGAGAACCTTTAATATGCTTAAGAACACGTATAAAAACTTTGCTGAAAGTGGATTTAAAAAAAGCTCTATGCAACTCTATAAGAATGTTATACATCCATGTCTCCTGGTTGAGTCTGGAGAGATGTATGTGCTTGATGTCACCCCTCCTCCAGAACTTCATTTAATGATGAAAACTATAACAGAAATTTTAAATGTCTTCTGTAAGGAACCTGATGTTGCTCTCTGGTTAAAAAAGCATGGAATTATTTGGCATGGGTATAATGGAGGTGGACTGGATGGTAGAAATGCTAACAAAATACGAAAGCTTTTGCCAGATTTGGAAAAATTTATCTTAGATAACTTTTCTTCTTATTATCCAGTTGTTGAACTGTTAGTCTTTTTCTTCAGGTAAATTTTAAATATACTTAATTTTACAAAGCATTTATATATTAAAAGCTAATTATGATTTAAAAAGAAATATTTATTGAATCAAAAGCAATTTCTCATAAACGACACTAAAATTTACATTTAGTAGTAAACATGTGTTTCGGAATGAAACTCCAGACGGTTATCCTGATGCCATTGCAACATATATAAGAAAGTTAAAGGTAATAGTTACATAAATGCATAACAACTCATACACTTAAAAATAAAGTTTTAATTTTTGTTTATATTAACCATTTTTTAAATTTTTAATTTAGGAAAACCAAGAGTATGTGAAGACTACATTCAACCCCAACCTTTCTATGGGATGGAAAGGTCATATAATTGAACACCATCTTGCCATGTTTTTAAATAGAACTAAGCTGCCATTGGGAGTATTTTCTGAACAATGTTCTGAATCTGTTCATCATAATATGTTGAAAACACTGAGCAGATTCTCAACTTCAGAATTCAGAGAGAACCATGGAGAGCTTCTTAGAAAGGCAATAGTTGAATATTCAAGTCAAAGAATTTAAGTTTTTTCTTTGCTATTGATTACATAATTATACATATCTTGTATATTATATAGTTTTGAAGATTACATTAAATCAGTATATATTATGGATTATATTATACTGTTTCAGAGTATATACAAATAGTATTGCGTACTTTGGTAAGCAATCTGACGTCATACTGAAATAGCCGGCTGCTGGGGGCTTCAGTACATACAACGACTGACAAATAGCCTGACTCGCAGTGAAGTGCTGCTACATCGACTGAGGGTTTGGGATGGGGAAGCAATCGTTTTAATTTTATTATGTTATACAATGTTATACAATAATATTGCAGATTAGGCTTTATTATATCATGAGTATTACACTATATTTTAATGTAAAGTAAACTTAGTTTTTTGTAGTTTTATTTTAAATGGTTATATCTTTTGAACGGCAAGATATTTTTATTGAATTTTTGAATATGTAACTGATGCTTGATTTTTCTAAAGATGGCATAATATTTTTTTTTAATAAATAAAGGGGGCCAAGGGGAGGGGGCAAAAGTTGCCCTGATCCCCTTTAAAAATTGATTTTCTCATCAGGACGTACACCAAATAATTTGTTCTTTTCATAATATTGTCTGTATAATAGTCCTGAACACTTTGTAATTAATTTTTTTTAAGTAATCAAATTTTCAACCTAAACGACCTAGAATTGACTAGTGAAAGCTTAGTTAAATATGTTTATCTCATCAATGGAATCAAAAAGACATTTTGGAGTGTTTTGTAACGGGCCATAAAATAAGAAATTACTATGTACCGGAGTTTCGTCTGGGTGTTTACTTTTTAATTCTTTCAACACTTTTTTCGAGCACTGCAAAATGCCTGATGACTCCCTGGATAAAACCTTTATTGCAGTAGCAACTTTACCTTCCATCATTAGTATTGCAAAAATCCTTGAAATATCCTCAAATGTTTTTTTTTTTTTTTTTTGAGGTGTTAATTTTGCTCTGTATATATCTAATTTCTAGCATCAGTTCACAAAAATTCCCATTCCTCTATAAAGTAATTTGTCTCACTAAACATTCTACATGCTTTTTGGCTAAACTCTGCGCCTACAATTAAAAAATGTAGGTTCTATGTGGTTCTCATTAAATTTTAATTTCTTCCTTTTATTGTTTTTATAGATTTGCTTGCGACAACACCGCAAACAGCGTTTGTTGATAAGTAAGTTTGTTAATAATTGAGTATAATAGAGTATATATAGAGACGTATGGTATAATTATACAATTTAAAAAAATTTTTTTCTAACAATGAAACTTTAAGCGCATTTTCATTTCAGCTTATTGGCTTAAAATTTATTATTTCAATCTACTTTAATCTATTCAAATCAAGAATGAAGGTTAAGTTCAAACTAAAATAAAATTTAAGATTATAAGAAATCTTTCGGCTAAAGCATCGTTTCAAGAGGTAACAAATATAAAATATGACAATAAAGTTTGTAAAAAATTACTTAATGCTTTCAAAGATTCTACTAAAGACTTATTTAATTTTATGAAACTGGATTTATGAAATTTTATGAATTTTTATGAAGTTTATAAAAAATCAGAAGAAAAAGAGAATTTTTAAGAAAAAAAAAAAAAAACTTTTCAGACGTTTCTTGATTTTATTTTCAAAACTTAAGTATCATTGAGAGATATTTACAAATATATAAATTGCGTTTTGTATTAAATATCAAGAATTTTTTTTTTTTGAAAACTCACAAAAAAAAAAAAATTATGGTCATAAATAAAAGTTTTTTTAAAATACAATATCCAATACAATCTAAATCCCGCATGAAAAACGTCATACTGCTTTGTAACCGTTTGGAACAATACCAAATAATATTATCAAATTGAAGTTGAAAAATTCAAGTGTCACATAAGACATACTTTTTCTTTCTTTCCCAAAAATCTTCTTTAAAAATTTTCTTTAAAACTCCCAGCTGTTTGAGAATAATCAACATGCTTTTAGAGTGGTCGTATTTTTTTGTCAAGACATCGTAGGTTTGAATATACGATTCCTTAGTTTTCTCAAATGCCTCGCAATTACATTCAGAATATATCTAAATTAAAATGATATATTTTTGTAACTTTTACTTATTTGTGGTATATAAACACAGGGAACAGATTATGTATCTACCAAATGGCGTAACTAACAATACAGGTGGTATTTACTTTTTTAAATTGATAAAAACATAAAACTGTTGTTAAAAAATTTTCAAAAAACTTTTAAACAGTATATTATTTATTTTGTATTAACAAACCTCTACGATACTTTTAATTCGCATGTAAAGCGATTTTACGCTGTTGCATAATTGTAACATCGACACCAAAAAATTTTGACCAGAGTCAATATTTGCTTCATGTTTCATCACAATGTAGAGTTCTCCAAGAATCTTATCTAACAAATTTTCATAAAGCCGAAGGGCTGCAATATCCTAAAAAAAAATGGTTTTTTTATTTATTTTTAAACTTTTATGCCTAAAAAATCTCAAGTTTAAAAGTGTCCACCGGGTTATTAACTAATAAAAATGTATACCGTAATATATAAATGTTGTGTAACACAACATGGCTCTAATATTTAAAAAAGAGAACCTTTAACATTTCATAAAAAAATAATTATTTAACAATAGTTAATACCATTTTAATTTAATAATAGAAAACATTTAATGTAGTTAAATAATTTTCGTTACAGTTAATACTGTTTTGATTAGGTCAAACAGCTACTGCTTTTAGAAAAATTTTATGTTTTATAGATATTCCCCAGCCGGTACAAACACGTCTTTTATTCGTTTTTTTTTTTTGCATCTAAAACTTTAACACTTTTAGATGTCTAAATTCAGATAAATATAAGACATCTATTAGTAGTCATCTTTCAGATGGCTTGAGAACGGCTATTATCCGTCATCTCAAAGATAAATACTATGTTTTATAGTTATCTGAATTGAGACGTCTAAAGATGTTAAAACTTTTGATTCTAAAAACACGTGTTTGTGCTAGCTGGGTCTCTCTACTAACATATATATTCACTAACATATACCCAATTAACGTCTATACAACTAACATATATACTCAACTAACATATATATTCACCATCAGTAAATTTATATATGATTACTCACGTAAGCTATAAATTTAATTCTTGAAAAATTTTTTATCAATAATAAATTTTAGTTTGGTTTGTAATAGAAGATTTTCCTTTGATATATATATGTATATATATATACACACACACATATATATATATGTATATATATATGTATATATATATATATATATATATATATATATATATATATATATATATATATATATATATATATATATATATATATATATATATATATATATATATATATACATAAAATTAACTCTAATTTATACTAGTGTATAGTTACTTTAAGAACTTTTTAAACGTAAACAAGTGTGCAGAGCCAAACACACTTAAGGTTTAGCAGTTTTTTTGGTCATATGCAGGTTCACCTATTCGCATGTAGAAAGTGTGTTCCAAAAATTCATAAGTTTTTTGAAATTGTTTTTTGAAAATAAATTGAGACCAATATTTGACATAATTTATTTAATAAATTTTGGATTAAAAGTTCTTACCGAAGTTAGCAATTTTACATCTGGACTTTTAATGAAACCTTCCGTAGTATGATAAGAGCAAGCAGAATCATTTGAGGTCGAGTCGTGTTTGGTTAAACGTAATACCTAAAAAAAACTTAAGTTCTACATGAAAAATATTTTAAAAAGAATTTATAAAAAATGTTTTTTTAAATTTTTAAAAAATTACCAATAAACATTTTAGACGATGAACGAGCACCAGATGATACCTATCCATAATCAGATCTTCTGTTAAACTATTGAACTTCCTTATTGCTTCAGTGCATGATTTTTTTTCGCATTTTGATACAAGTTTTTCTTTCAGTGGGTTTGTAAAAAGCGAGCCTTTATTTTGATCCGACATTACAGATTTAGCCTCAATCAATATCATAGTCAATGTTACTAAAAATGTAATATATTTATATATATATATATATATATATATATATATATATATATATATATATATATATATATATATATATATATATATATACTGAAAGTGTTATATATATATATATATATATATATATATATATATATATATATATACTGAAAGTGTTATATATATATATATATATATATATATATATATATATATATATATATACTGAAATATATATATATATATATATATATATATATATATATATATATATATATATATATATATATATATATACTGAAAATGTAATATATATTTATACTGAAAATGTAATATATATATATATATATATATATATATATATATATATATATATATATATATATATATATATATATATATATATATATATATATATATATATATATATATATATATATATATATAATTATATAACTAAAAAATAAAACTATAAAAAAAAATATTATATATTTTTACACACGAGATATGTATCTTTGGATCATTTTACCTAAAATAAAGCTTATAACCATGGCTTTTATCATTCTTGTTTTGTTTTAGACTGCAAACAGGTATACTTTTTCCAAAGTTTTTCATTTCCTTTCTTTTTTCTTTTCCTTTTATATAATATTGGTGAATAAAGGTAGTTACCTACTAAATTTTCCCAAGAAAATTTTATTAATCACTTTATGAAACGAATTTTTAATGACTTCTTCTCTTCAGTTAACAGAATCTAGTTTCGTGTTATTGAAACAATATTCTGTTAACTGTTTTTTCATTATTTATGTTGATTAGTTTTATAAAATTTTCCTTAAAGTGCTTAACCATAGAAATTTATTAATTTCGAAACTAAATTTTATTATTTTTCTGCGTTATTATTTTTATTACTTTCATTTTAATGACCTTTTGGATAGTTTTTCCTCATTAAAACACCTTTTTCTTATTAGCAGTTTAGAATTTATTTTTAAACTCAATTATTACGACATAATGCTAAAACATCAAAAAAAAAACCATTCAACAAACTTTTTAATAATTAAAATGCGTTAAGTTAGACTTATTAAGGTTTTTTTTTGAAGTTGATATTACATGAGGAGTGAATTTTCATGTCGCAAAAATAAAAATTTTGAGTTCTATTTTCAAATTTTATATACTAAAATCTTTCATTTATTTATATTTGATCTAATGATAGACTCTTGGTCCTAATACTAAATAGAGAAAGTATGAATTTCAGTTTTTGTGCGCCTATAAGTAATCCAGCTTTTCGTCAATTTCTCAAAATCGATTAACTCAAACTACTCTCAATTTACTAAACCTGACTATATGAGGCTTGAAAATTCAATTCTCATATAGTTAGGATGACTATATTTTAAACAAAAAAACCGGGCTACAAAAATAGGAATGATAAAAACGGGGAAAAATATGTCAAAGACTGCTAAAATAATTTAGGTTTCGTTAACCGGACAAAGGTTTTAATCACTGTTGCAGTATATAGCCAAGAAATACCGAAAAAGTCTGCGTTTAGGAAAGAAAAAAAATACTTTTTATTTTATTTAAAATTGATGATGATGATGATATATATATATATATATATATATATATATATATATATATATATATATATATATATATATATATATATATATATATATATATATATATAATCATTTTTTAAATTATTGTTATCATTTTTGAGCGCATTTGATGGCTTTTCCTCATTGATTGCTAGTCAAAGTTTATTTAAACATCTGTTTATTATTTGCATTAAAAAATATTTCATATTTCATATAATAATAATAAATTGTTATGGACCACATGCGTTAATCATATTTTTTGCTTAATCCAACCTGCTTTAGCAAATTTTGTAATATAAAGTAAAATAGTCTAGCCTACTGTAGTTTGTAGAGTGTTGTCCACGATGTGCCCAAGTGTATTAACAGCTCAAATAGCAACAGAGTTTTACAATACAAATTCAAAACGCAGTTGTTTTGGTGCGTGCTAAGGAAAATTAGTTGCAGCTATTGGTTCTGAATGCATAATTTTTATACACTTAATAGTGTAATCTGTGATATAGCAAATAATGCTTACGAAATGAATAATGATGTTTGATAACTTGATATGCGTTGGTGAATTTCGATGCATACATTGGTTGGAAAAAAGAATCAACTATTTTAAAGCAGCTTGTAGTTGAATTTTGGAAATATTTTTACGTGATTTCTAATGGTTCTAAATATTAGCCCTACCACCGTGTCCAATAACATACTTATCATTTTACTTCTTCTTTGTGTCTTTTTTTATAAGCTTTCATTCTTTGGAAACGTCTTCGTTGTAAAGGCATTTATCCCATTATTCGCATTTATTGCTATATTGCTTTATCATCCTAACTAAACTTTATTTAAAAATCAGTGGAAAAAAATATTAAAATAAAAAAATACCAGTAACAAAGAAATTCAAGTTTGTTTTAAAAGTAATCTGCTCTAAAAAAACTTTTCACAAAGCATTGCGGAAGAGCATTTTTATTTAATTTATTACAGTAATCAATAAAACTTATACATAGAAATTATAGTATTAATAAAGGAAAGCATACCAGGCTTTCTTACGGCTAAGTTGAACATTGCTGAAGCCAAAGCAGCATTTTAAACGTATTTTTTTAAAGAGTACACTGAGGGTGAATCAATTACATCCTGTGCTATTTGTTTCTTCTTGTGAATGCTGAGCGATTAAGCATTGCAGAATAAGGTCACTACGAATTCTGTTTTTTTTTTCAGTGCGGTTAGACAAGTATTTAAATTTTTTTATTTCTTAACTAAAATGTTTAATCAAAAATATTGTCTTTCTTGCACGTTTTTGAAAATGTTTGAGAAGGACAATTTCCGATTTAAAATGTGGACACCAGGCTTGCACACTAAACTCTAGATGTGGTCATATGCGTATAGATGGTATGGTTTTTTTCCAGAGCTGGAGGCTACAGCACCTAAATATCTTCTTGAGACGACCAGGCAATCAATTGCCAGTCTAAGCTGTTTCTTTTACTTTTGCTTTGACTTTGATGTTGTCGGATATTAGTACTCCAAGGTCACGCTCAATTAATTTGATTTAATCAACAAAATAAAAAACTATTTTTACATGGTGTTCACGGTAAGATGTCTCCGTGAGAATGTCACTGGAATCAATCAGGTTTGTAAGGTAACCTTTGTGATGTACAAATCCATGTTGAGACTTTGAAAATAGTTTGTGTAATGTACAGTGTTTCATAATTCTCTCTTTTATAATTCTCTCCATCACCTTGCACGGTAGAGAGGCGAGAGATATTACTGGATTTTATAAAGTTTAAAATATTTAGGGGACGTGCAACAATATCTTTAGGCAAAAGGGTGGATGCCGATTTTAATTCGTCAAATAACTCTGCGCCGTTAATATCACAACTATTTTACATTTCATCAAGTCATCGTCCGCAGGTGATTTCTTCAGATTATATAATGTTCCTCAAGTTTGGTGAAATTCATTCAGTTGTTGAAATCTTACTTGAAGAGATGCTATGGCATTATCTAAAATAACATTAAAGACGTTCTTAAAATTATTCTCTGGACTTACTACAATCTTATCTCTACACTCATAAGCAAACGTTTGCTTTTTACGGCGTAACCTTTTTTCAATAAAAATACTTTCAACTTTCAAAGATTCAGCCAGGTCTTTTGCAACCAGTAGAGAACTTTCAAAACCAGTTACCCTATATTCTGTCACAAATTCGGTACATAATTTTATAAGTGAAACTACTGAGGCAATATCCATGGCTGCAGATTCCATAGATTTGCTAACAATAATTATACACGGTATAAACAATATTTAGACAGTGTAAACAATATTTAAACGGTATAAACAATATTTATACGGTATAAAATATTGTACCAGGATACAAGAATTACTAAAGCATCGTAAATTTCCACAATTTGGTACCGTATTGGTTTTAAACATTCAATTCGACTTTCCCATCAAGTTTCACAAAGAATTTTAACTGTAAAATTGGACACATGATATTTCAGTATGTTCCATCTTGATACTAAAGCTGAAAATAGTGTATATATTCGTTGGACAGTTCTGAAAAATGATATAGACTCAATACAAGATGTTGCACTGTCGCTTATAACTAAATTTAGAGAGAAACATTAATCAGGCATAAAAAATGCTCTTTGATTTATTTCACAAACTCGATCTTATAGGCATTTATTTTTACCCTTCATGTTTGCACCATTATTATATCCTTGACTTCTACAGTTCATTAAATTTAAGTTTAGATCAACCGACAACTTTTGCAAAATTTCAAATAAAGATTGTTTAGAATATCTTTCAACACTTTGATAAGTTAAAAAATGTTCTTTAATCCCATCGCTTAAAATATCAACAAATTTTAATTTAAAGGAGAGTTGTTCAGTATGGCTGACATCAGGGGTGCAGCCTAGAATTATACTAAAATATTTTGCATCTCTAGCTTGTCTTAAAATATTGTCTTTAATTCCGGATCCCAATAAAAAAATTAACTTGTTTTAAATTGTTTTTGTTAAATTGTTAAGTTACCCGAGATTCTATAGAAGAAATGCGTCGTAAATGCTCGTTTAAAGTTGCGTCATATTTGCTCAACAGTTCCACTAAACCTAAAAAATTTCCATTTTTAGAAATAATCTGTCTGAAGAACCACGAAAAGGTAAGGTATTTTCCGATAAGTACAAAATTATGTTTCACATGCAATCAAACACAAGATGCCAGTGATCTCTTTCTCAAATAATTAAAGATTGCAAATTTTTATCAATATTTTTATTCGTTTTAAGCCTACGACTAGCTTCAAACCAATTACCAAAACACTTTAAATGTTTGGGTGAATTTTCATGCGATTTTACATATTCAGTAATGTGTTTCCAGTTATTAATTCCAACAGTGGCTAATGATGATTTTGCTTTATCTGAATAATAACGTTTACAACAGTTGATGAATATAGTAACCCGGTTAACAAACAAGATTCACCGTTATTTAATTTTCTGTACAATAATGATTTCGAAAAATAACGATTGTTATGATCTCATGGAAATTCAATAACATTTGTTAGGTGAGATTCTACATCAATTCCTACATAAATAATGTGATCACAAATTTTAGAATTAAGGGGAGCTGGCCATATTGCAGGATCACTTATATCTATTTAAACGTCATTAAAAAAAAATCACTCTACGGATCACGGTTTAAAAAAAATCACTCTACGGATCACGCGGTAATTGAGCTTGTAAACCATATATCGGATGCTTTTGATAAAGGTTATTTTACCTTAGGAGTTTTCATTGATTTATCCAAAGCATTTGACACTGTCAATCATGAAATCCTTATAAATAAATTAGAATTTAAGGGAGTAAACAACTTAAACTTACTTTGGTTTAAAAACTACTTGACTTGAAAAAGCAATGCATAATCTATGAAACAAATGAAACAAAAAAAAACTTTTAAGTTGCGGGGTTCCTCAAGGATCTATCTTAGGACCATTATTGTTACTAGTATATATAAATGACTTATTTTTAGCATCTAAAAAGTTATATATTATATTGTTAGCTGACGATTCCAATCTGTTTTATTCACACAGAGATAAAAAAATTCTTTTAAAAATTTTTAATGAAGAAATATCTAAAGTAAATGAATGGTTTCCAAGCCGGCATTATTACGTTGTTTCAACGTTGAAATTCGGTTGAAGCGTTGTTTCAACGTTGTTCAACTATTTCACAACGTTAAATCAACGTAACCGTTTAAACGTTGATTATTTAACGTTATTTCAAAGTTAAGTCAACGTTACAGTTTAAACGTTGATTATTTAACGTTATTTCAACGTCATTGTTTCAATCATTGTTGACAAACAATACGATATAAAATTTATGCGCGCGCAGAAATGGAAGTAAAAACGTAAACATTATTTCAACGATTAAGGTGGTACTAAAGCTATTATTAAAATGTTAAATAAAGTATTAAAAAGTTGTTAATTAGAAGTTTTATATATATAAAACTAAAATATACAAATTTTGAAATAATTTGTAACAAAAAATTTTTCTTTGCCTCGCTTACCCAAATCTAAAAACACATATAAAGAAAAATACGCAGAATGCAATATCTCAAGATAGGGTCATTTATTTGCTCCAAAACTTTACAATAACATAGGTCCCATAATGATGTAGGAGTTGTACTAGAATCATCTACTGTATGTATATAGTTTAGGAGTAAAGGCAATTTTACCTTATTGAACCAGCTGCGGGTGTCAGGTGGGGGACATATCTGGCATTATTTCATGAACTATTTTGTATTAGACCTTAATTCTAGTACAACTCCTGCATATGAGTATCATGAATACATCCTGAAAATTTCATTGTAATTGCACCTTTAGATCTTGAGATATTTAATTCTGCGTAATCGTGTATATTGAAAATATTCAAATGGCAAAAAACGTGTTTTAAAATCCAATAAACTTTCACAGTCAACTACCAACCACCAATAGAATAAGCTGGTAGTTTTTCTGATTCATTTTCAATGTCTGAGTAACCTTTTCTTATATTTTTAAGGATTTTTCTTTGTTGTATTCCTTTTTTTGATGATTTTCTCCTCATATTTCTGATTCGTTCATTGTTTTTTTTAATAAATCCTTTATTCATAAATTGTCCGACAGGAATTTTTAAACGTTCAAAAACTTTGCAAATACCAGTAGCACCTTCATTAAACTGTAGTATTGCAGATGAAACTCCAATCTCCAAAACCTTTTTTCCAACAAAAATATTTTTAGGGCATTTTTTCCATATTATAGAATTTAAAGCTTCATTGTTGTTTTGGGTTTGTCCGTGTAAACATTTGGAAAGTAACTCATCACTTGAAAGATCATGAAAAATTGGGAGAAGAACAGCTTTGATTGACAATGGTATATTCAATATGGGTTTGTATTTGTTTTGATCATTAAATCTATCTGTTTGCCACAAGCACCAACTGTTTTTAGATTGAGGGCAGAATTGATGGCGTTCGATGGGATTACTTATATTACTATTATGAAATAACACAGCCCAAACAGATTTCTTCATTGGGTATAATAGTTTATTCTGCCTAATTGCCATTCCATAATAATTTTGAAGTTTATTTATAACTTTATCTGTCAATCTTCCTGCCCCATTCAATTTTTTTCCATCACTTAGTTTTTTTCCCTTCATACTTTGAAGCAAACTGCGGCATCGTGCACCTAATCGCTTCTAAACGTGGCCAACACATTCTAATTTTTCGATTGTTATTTCTTCTCCATATGGTTTAGAAGACTTGACTTCATTAAAAGATGATGTGTCACCATCACCAATATATGAAGTGTAACGCAAACCATAATTTTTTATTGATCGAGAAAACATTAAAATAGCACCTGCAGCCTCCATAGAACCTGAAGATTTTTTGTGATTTGCTTGGCAGATATGATTTGTTTGCCAGTTCAGGTACCCTGGTTTGTTTTTTTTTTTCCTTTCCACATGGCACATCCTTTACAATATTTGGACAAAACTGCTGTGTCTAAACACTTTCCATTTTCTCTTGAGATTAAAGTTACAACACCGTTCATAGACGAATAACCACGCTTTTGCCATGTACCATCAACTGAGACCTGGCAATTTGTAATGCTATTGTTATCAAAAGTATTGGTAGCAAGTAAACTCTTTGTTTCTAAAGCTGCATTGCTCATGCTTTCTGAAGCTGCATCGTTATAAAAAGTATGTAATTTATTATTTATTAATTGATATCCAGGAAATGATAATGGTGTTGGCATGTTCATAATGTTAGCAAATGTACGGATTCCCTGATAACCTTGACCAATCTCACGAAAAGCTATAACCATTTGATAATTAATGCAGCTTACAGCTTTTCCTAAAGTAGGTTTATTTGTTTTCTGTGAGCTTTCAAATTCATATTTCCAGTCACAATTTGTGCAATTCAAACATAGAAGATAAGAAAATCCCTTTTTTTTTTTGAAATTGTTTGATAAAGTTACTGTTTTCTTACATTTAGGACAAAAAATAAATTTTACAAGCTCATTCTGAAGAATTGAAAAGTTTATTAAAATGTTATAATCATCGTTGTTACTAAATGAACTACTGCATTTTTTCTTTCTAAGTTTTCTTTCACTTGAACAAGGTTTTTCGATTTGCATGGTTTTATCATCAAGCTTGTTGTTTTTTGTGAATCTGTTACCTTTAAACTTCATCTTTTTCTTTGCTTTTAAAGACTTTGGCATTTTTAAAAACCAACTAATATACTTAATAAATGTTTTTATAATTCTAAATAAAATAAATAAATAAGGAACAGCACCAAACAATCAATAATTGTATTTGTAGTTAAGTGTCTACTTCACTTTTAAATTTGAAACTTGCAGTCGTGATTTAATGAAAATAATGTGATTTTAGCTAATGGAATTAAGACATTTTATCAAAAAAAAACTTATTTGTAAGATTCAATGCGACCCCCTGTTTAAAAACATGGATATATAACTAAATTTTTGGGCAAAACCAAATCTTGCTTGGCGTTGCTAAGGCGTTGCTAAGCGATTAAAATTATACCTGGTTTTTTAAAAACCTTATATCTCCTAATACTATTAAAAAAACATATCAAAGTTATACATATTTGAAACCAGCATTGAATTCTACATATATTGAAATAAAAATCCCAAAATCGTTTTTTTTATGATTTTAATGCTTTAGTACCACCTTAAAGTTTTAGAGATTTATAATGGAAAAAAATGTAAATACTGAACTTATATCATATAGAATTTTCAAGAGATCGAAAACATGTTCAGAGGATTTTCCTGAAAGAACATTATCGTTTAAAAATCGATATTTTTCGTTTAACTTGGGTTACAATGCTCAAAGACTGGTATTATTAAATGTAAATATAATACAGCTTTTTCAAAAAATGATCCATTAAATTATGTTGAATTTAATGTTAAGCATTGTTTTTTAATAGAGCATCAAGAATTAAAAAAGGAAATTGATAACTTTAAAAAAAAACTTCAGCACGAAATAAAAAAATAAAGATTTATATGAAAAAATAACTTCAACCACATCAGTTATTACTATGAAAACAGACAAATTTGTATATAAACATAATCCAAACAAATCGTGTTATTGCAATTTACTTGTATACAAACATTTATTTTAAAAATAATAGATCTTGCGACTTTTATACTGGCCTTACATCTGTCAATGTGTTTCATTAGTTAGTGCAGTATCACCATTAATCAAAAGAGATAAAGCGATATTAAAAAAAAACATTTACTTCTGTTTTTTGAAATTTAAAAAAATCCTTAACTACTTGGACCAAAATAAATGTAATGCAGCAAAGATGAATTTTTAATGATGCTAATACTTGGATTATTGACAGCTGATTTTGCTGACAGGTTTAATATATTTTTAGGATTAGCGAATGCAATATTTTCTTCATTGTTGAAAGTCTCTAGCTCACTTTTAAACCACATGGTTTTTGTTCTAAGTAAAGATGTTATAAGACAGGCAATGCAAAACAGATTTTAGAAAGTAAATTATTCAGACTAACACTTAGTTTTAGATATAACAGAATTTATTATGGAATCACCTTAAAATTTTGACTTACAGAAACTAACAGGGAATGAATACAAAAATTACAGCAACTTAAAAACATTAGTACCAGTAGCTCCAAATTCATCAATAATTTCTTTAAAAAATTTCTAAAGCTTACAGAAGCTAAATTTCAGATAAAAAAATTACATATCGCAACAATTATTTTAATTGTATTACAAAATACTCTTGTATAATGTATGATTAAGGCTTTAATATTAATTTTTTAATACAAATGAAGTGATTTTAATTGAATCCATTTTTATCAGTCACTTTAAAAATATGATGAGTATTTGTATAAAGATAATTAAAATTTCAAACAATAATATTTGCTTTACTTGTTGTTGTTTTTTAGGTGAATCAATTGCAATTGATGGAATATATATAAAATGCTGAGGTAATTAAAATAATTTTTAATTATTCAGGAATTTTAAGGATTAAATTATTTAGCGAAAAAAATTGTTTGATAATGAGTTCAATTTAAATTTAAAAAAAAAATTAATATTAGTTCTCGCATAATTAATATCAGTTCTTTTATCTATTAAATTTTAGAATATTTTCCAACAATTTTGTGATCTCCATAAATATGAAGGGGAAAGGTGAAAATATGCTTTAAGAGCACTAATTTATATGGTGTAGTAAAAGGTATACCTTTATAAGATATGAAAAACTTTTTTATTCTCATTTTTTTTATATTCAAAAGTTTCTCCTTGTGTTTTTTTTTTGTTTTTTTTTTCTAATTCTTTTTTATTAACAGCTTCTTCTATTAAATACGATGGAACGACTGAAACTTTAATTGATGGCATTTTGTCTAACTTCTAAAAATGTGCTTCATTTCGAAAAGGTGGCGGAAAAGAAAAAAATTTAGATTGATATAAATTTATATTTATAAAAATCAATCTTAAATTTCTTTATTGAAATATTTACATATATTTCAATAAAGAAATATTTTCTTTTTGTCTGCTAATATTTTTTTTTTTCAGTGTTATTTCAACATTACAAATTAAAACTCAATTATGAAAAAAGTCTGATATTTTAAGTAAAATAAGAAAAGCCCAAAAAGTAACTGATGTAATATTTTTATTTTTTGATAAAAATAAATTCCAATAATGTTTAAAATTGGTATTAATATTAATGTTTATTAGATGAAGATGAGTGAAAAATAAGTAATGTTTGTTAGATAAAGATAAGTAAAAAAATAAGTTACAAGTTATTTTTTGATCTTGAAAATTGTTTGAATGATAATCTATTATTTATCAAAATATTTTCTCTTTTAATTTTTGTTGTTTTTATATTTTATTTAAAAGTCGATATTATTGTGTCATATATTATAATATACCTTAAATTATACTATTATATTTAATATTAATAATGAGTATTTTTGTTTTTTTGTATTTCTATTTTTTTTCAATATTCCATAATTATCTTATGTAGATGTTTATGTTTTAGCAATCTAGTATTCTTTCATTATTTGTCTTTGTTATTGAGCCTGAAGTTATTTGAACATAATATATTCAGAACTCTGCTAAATAATAGAGTAATAAATAAATTAATAAAAATAAGTTTAAAATATTATAAATTTATAAAATAAAGAAAATCTTATCTTTGCTTATAATGTCTACTAATATTATTGTTTAGCAAGTATCATGGTTATAAAATGTTCAAGTTTAGCTAGTTTAATTAGGCCTGTTAGTACACTTATACTATGGTTTCTTTATTTTATATTAGTTCATGTAATTTTTTCAAAATCGAATATGCGGAAAGGAGCTGTTTGGAATGAAGATTTACAAGAATAAGTAATTCCATCTAATTGAATAAAAGATAAAATTGTTTGTCGGCTTCCAGGTACCAAAGCATTGACTGCACTAAAATGCAGAGAAGACTTGGCTTAAGTTTATACAAATAAAAACTAAATTCTCTTCAGGTATTACATCTATATATTACAATTTTTATTTTTTAAATAATGTGGTAAAAAGAGTTATTTTGTTGATACAAAATATATAACTATTTGTATAACTATTTCAATTCTAAAACAAAGCAAACAGTATTGTGAAAATTTTAAATTCACAACTACAAAAGAAAAATGTGATAATGAGAATGTTGACAAGTGGATGCAAGATTTGCACACAAGTGGAAACTTTGATGCAAATTTTCCATTTGTGTGGTTTGGATGGTTCTCCACAATATAATATATCGCCACAAGCATAATATTAGATTTACTTCATGTTTTTTACAGATAAATCAATTACAGATAAATTAATTAGTTAATTGGTGGAATGTCTTCTAAAGATAGAATACACAAAATTATGCTGAGGTAATCAAAAACAGTATTGGACTCTTACCTCATTTATAATCAGGGTGTCTGCAGCTCCTTTAAAATCCTCTAAAGTCCTCTTTTTTTTAAAACCACTTTTAAAATCCTCTATTATCCTCTAAAGAGGTAAAAATTTGATCAAAGCTCCTCATTAATTCTTCCTTTTTTAATTTTTGATGGAAGTATAATGTTCAAAATACATGATCTCGGTCTGCAAAACTGGCTAACGCCTTAAAGTGCATGAAATGTATAAAATTGCTTTAGAAAATGCATGCCATTTAACATAATAAATGACATTATTTGATCCCTGTCCCAGCACCATAAGTGTATAAACATGGACGTAAAACCATTAATAAATAGCCACATAAAATTTCTTATAAAAATTTTATGTGGCCACCCCGAAAATTATTTTTAAATGCTAGAAATATTTTATATTTTTACTACCAGTTTATTTTTAATATATTAAAAAGATTGTTTTATTTAAATTAAATATTTGAAAAAGTTATTAATAACCAATTAACAGTTATATTATTTTTTTAAAATTCAGAGTATTTTCGAAAAGTTATATGGTCTCTATGGATATGAAGGGCAAAGGTGGAAAAATATGTTTTAAGAACACTAATCTATTAGGCGTTGAAAAAGATGTGCCTTCATAAGATGTAACACTTTTCCATTCATTATTTATTTTTTAAATCTTCCCTTTTTGATTTTTTATATTTATATTTTTTATTTACAGCTTCTTCTATTGTATTCAATGGACCAAAAGAACCCTCGGTTAATGGAACATTGTTTGACTTTCTAAATTACGCTTTATTTCAAAAAGGTGGTGAAAAAGAGAAGAAATTTATGTAGATTTTATTCAATTACATGTAAATATATGTAATATTTGAATATGTATTTTTAAATAAAACAAGTTTTATCTCTTTCTTTAATCATACCTAGCTTTTTTAACTAAACTAAACTAAAAATTTTTTAAATAGTCTAAGTATAGGCTATAAATAGATTTAATATTCATAATATACCTTTATAATGTACAGCAACACTAATGTACATGCATAGTACGTTTTGATGGTGATCATATTTTGACGCATATAGCACGTTTACATACATATATACATTTTGACATACATAGCACGTTTTGATGGTGAAAAAGTGTTTTACAGTCGTTTAACGTTGATAAATCAACTTTAAACACTATCATTTTAAACGTTGCATCAACGTAAATTTAACGTTGTTGTAACGTTTTTTCGCGTCGAATCAACATTGATATAACGTTTGAACCTAACGTTGATTTAACGTTGATAAATCAACGTTGAAAAAAACTTTCATTCTAAACGTTAAACCAATGTTAATTCAACGTTATTGTAATGTTTTTTCGCGTCGATTCAACGTTGATATAACGTTTGAACCTAACGTTGATTTAACGTTGATAAATCAACGTTGAAAAAAACTTTCATTCTAAACGTTAAACCAACGTTAATTCAACGTTAGGTTTTAACGATATTTCAACGTTATTTCAACGTTATTTGCCGGCTGGGTTATTAGTAACCGCATTTCACTAAATGTAGATAAAACTAAATTCATCTTGTTCCACAAACCAAATAAAGTTGATAATATTCCACTTAAACTGCCAAATATTTTATTCAATAAAACAGATGTAAAAAGGGAATCTACTGTTAACTTTTTAGGCGTATTTCTTTATAAAAACTTGTCATGGAAGTTTTACACCCAATCTATTGATAGTAAAATCTCTTATAATATTTCCGTACTTTATAAAACAAAACCATTTTTAAACGCAAAAGCTCAAATGAAAATTTATTTTTCATTTATTCACAGCTATCTTTCTTACTGCAACATTTCATGGGGAAGTACGAATTACGGAAAACTCAAAAAACTTTATAGTAAACAAAAGCATGCTTGTAGGATTGTATTTGGGGCAAACATAACTGTTTATTGCGAACCACTGTTTAATCGTCTCAAGGCCTTAAAAATTTATAAACTAAACATTTACCAAACATTACTTTTCATGTTTAAAATGAAACATGGAATATCTCCACTTATATTTCAATCTTACTTTAGCGAAATATCTCATAAGTATCCAACAAAGTTTTCAGAGGATAACTTTATTGTTCCGAGAATTAATTTAAAAATAAGTTCTTATCGAATTCAATATCGAGGACCTTTTTTATGAAAAAATTTTATTAGAAGCTTTAATAAAGAACATATCGAATAGCTATAGAAAAATTTTAAACAGTTTCTAAAAGAATCTTACTTCAGTTAGATTTTAATTCAATGGACATTAAATATTTTTTTTAAAAGGTAATTTTAAAATAGAAAAAACGCTTCCATTAGCACTATATATATATTTTGTTATATGTATCAAATATATTTGTATTAGTATACAAAAATTTCTTCATTTTTAAATTTTTAATATAATTGTCATTTTATTATTTGACAAAAGTTATGTACTCTTTAACGTTTTTTGTATATTTTATTCATATTTGTTTATAAACAAGGACAAATAAAAAGACAGTCATTGTCTTCTTCTTGCTCCGGCCATTTTTTATAAATGTAATATGTATTTAATGTAAATATATGAAACGGCAAAAAAAACAAAAAAAACTAGGAGATTGAAATGTTGTTCCGAGTTGTCTACTTTCTTCAGGCGCTTCTTCCATTTCCTCGTCCAAAAAAGAATTACTACCAACTAATGACAAAGGGCAACTATTCACTTTGCTTGGACTCTACTTGAAAATATTTCGTAAAAGACTTTGCAGACTTTTCATTTTGTCGTTTAAAATAAAATTGTTTTTTTCGGTTTGCTTCAACCGATGTTTATTTGCAGACATGATGGACTCTTAAATTAATCAATTTTTTTTTTATGTTGATTTAGGTGCCCCAAGAAGTACGTTACGTTCTTATCACAGAGCACCGCGGAAGAGCATTTAATAGAAAGTTCACGCCTTCCCAACCGATGTCGCAAAGCTTACAAAGGGGTGGGGTTTGAACCAGGGATCATACGTTTCTGAGGTAAGTACGCTACCACTGCGCCACGGCTGCTCTAATTTTATACGAAAATAAGTTGTACATAAATTTTTGTTAGGCGATCGTTCTAAAAATAATTCTTTTTTCTAAAAGCTAACCAAAAAATAAATTTTGAAACGCAACATTTTAATGTTTTCAATTCGGCAAAAAATGTATTCCTTAATAACTTTTACGACCCAGATTTGCATTTTTATAAATAGAAATAATTTTAATTTGCAATATTTTGAATTAGGAACTTTTAAAAATAAAATAAGATCATTAAATAACAACTTAGCGGTGAATATAATGCGATTCCTATTTTTCTCCGTCCGTATCTTGAGCCGGCCCAATATATATATATATATATATATATATATATATATATATATATATATATATATATATATATATATATATATATATATATATATATATATATATATATATATATATATATATATATATATATATATATATATATATATATATATATGTATATATATATATATATATATATATATATATATATATATATATATATATATATATATATATATATATATATATATATATATATATATATATATATATATATATATATATATAGTCTTGCATGTCTCTTGCGTAGCATCAAAAAATATTTCCCATAAACTGTAGTTTTAAAGAGCGCGTTAATAAACCAGACCAGAAAAAGTTTTAAAAATTAAATTTTTTTTTTTAATTGATAGACTGCCTGGCCAAACCAAACCCTCAGTCGATGTAGCAGCACTCTCTTGCGAGTCAGGCTATTTTTCAGTCGTTGTAGCAGCACTCCCTTGCGAGTCAGGCTATTTGTCAGTCGATGTAGCAGCATTCTCTTGCGAGTCAGGCTATTTGTCAGTCGATGTAGCAGCACTCCGTTGCGAGTCAGGCTATTTGTCAGTCGATGTAGCAGCACTCTGTTGCGAGTCAGGCTATTTGTCAGTCGATGTAGCAGCACTCCGTTGCGAGTCAAGCTATAAGATAGTCGATGTAGCAACATTTACGCATGTTTAAAAAATGTTTTTTATTAAATCAATAACAAAAACACCACTAATTAAAAAAAACTTTCTAGTCGTTATAATTGCGGTTTTTTAAAAATTTGTTAAAAAACAATTAAATTTAATGTACTTCCGCATAAATTAATTGCTTTGACATTTCGACGACAATCAAAAACAGCTTAAGAGACGAGTAATTAAAATTGTAGTCGTAAGAGACTTTTTTTACATTAAAATGCTCTTAAAGCGACACTATATGAGTATATATATATATATATAATTTTTTGTTATTTTATTATTATTTTTTTTTCAGTTTACAATGTTAGTCGTGTTACAAAATTTATAAGTCGTACATTTAAGTCGTACTAACAATATAAAACTAGGTTTCCGAAAGAAGATCATAAGGATCTTATCATCGGAACCTTAAAAAGTAA